CCCGGGCTGAAATTCGCCATGTAATCAGGCCCTTAGCTCGTCTCGTCCGCTCGTGATAGTGAAAGAAGGGGTGGCTACTAAGCAGAGTACATTACACATTTCGACGAAAAATAGGGGAGAGGCGGAAAGGGAAGATGTATCTTCCTGTTTGGGTTGCTACATCTATTTGAAATAAGTTTCTAAGAACAGCTTTTACACTGTAATAAGCTGAGATTCAACAAGCTTTTTGCTCAACTCAGAAGTTTCTGAAGTTGGTTGAGGCGATCACACGGAGCGACGAGCCAACAGTTCAGAACAAGTGGAAGTCCCTTGGGACGGATAAGTTCTGGGTGATCGTTCAGAAATCCACAGTATAAAATTATTTCGAAAAACACAATAGGTAGGTGGCTATATAAGTTTATGTTTGCCCAGCGAGTTTCTACTTGATCTGGTCTGTAGTGCTTTTTTAAAATCCTGTTATGGTAATGATTTCTTGCTCTCAACCATTGTCAACGTAAGTTGTAAATATAATAGTGATCTGTTTGACAATACGCTATCGATGAATCAGAGCGTGTTTTCTCGCCACAGAAGGGAGTTTACGAAACCACGACGGCAACGGTAACGGGAACGTCACTGAACAAAAGAATTAATGAGCAGTACAATGGCTGTGCACGTGCGGTGTAATTCTTGGTACATTTCTTTGCCGTCCTCAGCAAAACAACAACGTGAAATGACGAAATTTTGCGTTGTCTGGAGAACGTGAACTACGACGGCTAATTTTTTTAAATTTCTGTTTCAAATTTATCGCTGTGTTCCGGATTTAGTTCTGCGATAGTTTTGACAGTGATAAACAAAGTAAATGACTTAAGAGTATCGCGAGATTCGTAGGTAAAATATAAATTCATTTTTTAATCGACGTTGTCCTCGGCGTCGGCATCGCGGTTTCGTAAACTCCCTAGTATTTCTGTCAGGCGAACAGCAGCGTTTTTTTTAAACGGTTGTTGTGATATTGTCAAGTGACAACAGTATTAAACGGAGGATGTCAATAAATAAACCGTACAAGCACTGAAAATTAGATAACTTTGAAGTTGATTAGCCTACGATTACAGCGGCGGCGGAGGGCTCTTACGTGGCCGATAGTAACCTTTCAGTTTTTAGTTTTAAGGACGGTGCCTACTAAATACAAAGGTTTTTGCGCCAGGTTAGGACCACGCYGAAAACYTAGATCTTTGCAAGGGCTARTGGAATCCCCGAAGAAAAATTGGGGTAGCCATGCATTTTTCGAGATAATTAGCCTCAAATCTCAACAAAAATGCTGACATCAGCATTTTTCTGAAAAAAGAAGGAAAGGATATTTCTTCACAGATTTCCTTAGAATTCGCCTTTACAGACAGAAAAGCAAACACATTTATAAAGATCTTAAAACTACATGGTAAATGGTAACATAAAGACCATTTTTAGTATGTTTTTAATAACAAAATTGTTGCAATGGCGCTTTTAAGATTTCTGACAGCCTTCCTCTGGTTCAGCTAAAATACAGTCTAAATACCTTTTGCTCACAACCAGAAACTAATGACGTGTTGAATAGGCTTGTCACTTCCATTTCACAACATAAAATGTAGGGGTAGCCAAGTGTTTTTTTAAAGTTATTGATCTTTTTTGAAAACTTTTACATTGCCCATTACATATTTTCCTGTCACCTCCCCAGTAAGTAAAACATTTGCATATCTCGAACTTGTTTTGCACGCGCACTAGGCCATCTGCAGGTACATGTTTGCAGTTGGATTTCAGTGCAATTTTCGACAGATAACAGCTAGTCTTTCAGCTGGAAGACGTTAACAGTTAGTGGTTAGCGATATGCTGCTATTCTGGTGTTGCTGGTTTAAGTACAGGTTCATTAAACTTGATTTGGTCAGTGGGAAAATTTTGCTTTCATTTCAGTCGTGTACTTGGTAGTGTAGTTAATTGCGTCAGTGACAACCCCAGTGTGCGTGTGGCGCTTAAACCTGCCTTGCGTGATGTGCAGAACGTGTGCACACTAACAAAAGTAGGCACCGTCCTTAAAACTGAAAATTAGTTTTTCCCTCGCTTTTGTTTCACTTATTGAAAAATCTGGTTGGAACACACCACCCTAAAGATGGTATGGTATTTTGGGGAAGAGGGGATATGTATTAGCCTGGGATGTTTTTCTCAAAAGTGCCCCGGCATTTATTCACTGATTCAGAAGGACTCCAAGAAAACCTTACAGAGGGAGAGGGGTAGGGGAGTGGGGTGGTGTGGGAAAAAATGCTTTGGAAGGGTTTAGTTTTTGAGTTGGTTGAGAAGTCACATTTCACTGGTTGTCAATTGAGCCCTTATTCTTGTGTTATGTCACACCATTCCTCTTTCTAGAAATTAGGTGTGTGTTTTGTCCTTTCACCATTCACTGAAAAAGTGGCACCTCTAGAAAATGCTTACCTTGTCATTGAGTTTTAATTTATGACATTTTTCAAAGATTTATGGCTACTTTACAGATTCTTTTTTAGTCAACATGTATTAAACTTTCCCAGAACTCAGAAAACTAGTTTTGCCAGGGGTGAAACAATATAATTTGCCTTTTGCAGATGCCATAAAATGGATCAAGTTGATAGAAAAGCAAGCACAAAAGAGTTTGAGGAAGAAGGAATAGTTAACCAAGAGTGTGTCACTGTAGAATCGACAGATGGTATGGAATATTTCGCTAAGTTTCCCAATCACTGCAGTGTGTTTCCAAGCTCTTGTCACAGCTTAACAGAGAGAAGTAGAGAGAAGTACTTGGCTGAAGGTCTAGTTTTTGGCCCACAGACAATCAATTTAAGTGATAAATTGAATTCACTGAATCCTTGGCTACAAAAATTGATGAAGTTCATTATTTTGAGACTAAATGGCAATAATATCCATGGATCAACATTTGAATTAAAAAGAAAAACATTAGCTGTTTTTGAACAATTTATTAGTGATTTCTACCAACTTCTGTGCTTGAAAATGATTATCTCTAGTTGTTTATACAGTGCAACTACACACACACATAATCTATGTTTGTTGTAGGTTTAGCCAACAGGGACAAGGCAACAGTGTCCAGTCCACCAAAAATCATATTCTGTGTAAGAGAACCTGCACCAAACCACAGTGCACTTCTTAAAGGAATTCCAAATGAGCCTATATCTCAACCATTGGACAATCAAGTTCTGTTTGGGCGTGGTCATGGAGTGGGGGTGTTTTTGAATGATGAGGAAGCTTCGCGAGAACACATGAAACTCTTCTTGCAAACAAACCCTGCTACTTATGAAAATGTGTTTGTTGTTAAGACTGTGAGCAGTACCAAGCCAGTTTATATCAATGGAAGTCCCTTATACAAGCAGGCTGGGGAGACAGTCCTGAACACCAATGATAGACTTAAAATAGGACAGCTGGAGTTCATTGTCACTGTCGAACCAGGTAATTCAGTGGATTATTTCCAACTTGAATTCACCAGGAGTGGGGTTAATCTTCAACAGCCTAACATGCAAGAAGCAGTAAATACTCCACAGTTAAGGGGAGGTGTTAACCCAGGGCAAGTATTCATGGCAAACCAGGTTGGTGCTGTTATTCTGCCCAACAATGGAGTGCCTGCAAATCCAGCTGTTAACATGAACATTTCAGCCAATGGAGGGGTTTCATATTATGGAATGCCCATGGCACCCACCTACCAGCCCATGCCTGTTGGAATGGGTCACCCCACCTACCACCCCATGTCTGCTGGAATGGGTTACTCCACCTACCAGCCCATGCCTGCTGGAATCGGTCATCCCACTTGCCAGCCCACACCTGCTGGAATGGGTTACCCCACCTACCAGCCCATGCCTGCTGGAATGGGTCACCCCACCTACCAGCCCACACCTGCTGCAATGGGTCAATCCTTTTTTCGACCACAGCCAACACATCCAAGATTTCATAGCAGTCCTTGTTCTGAGCCTCAGCAAGAGTCGTTGCCATCAGGAATCTATGGTCCTGCGTTACACGAGAATGGACATGCATCAGCACAAGATAGAAGGGAAATGTTTCTTGCCAAGCAGCCATCTGAGCAAAGTGAAGTTCCTACCGAAACTGGACTAGAAGAGGACTCTCACATTTCAATACAGGAGACTGGCAAGCCAAAAACTCTTTAAAAATGTAATAAAATATTATAATGACATGCCATTTCTCTTGCCATGTACCTGTTAACAAAGTGAACATTTTGAGGTGTAGTAGTCCAGGTGAAGTAGGCCTTTAACCAGAAGAAAACAGGTACACTCTACAATATGATGCACGAGGAAACATGCCAGCAAAAGCAGTCAATGCTGATCACATACTTAAGGATGGTGCCTCCTCGCCTCCTCATTAAATACAGGCATTTTTCCACATAGTTTATGCCTGGCCCAAAAAGCCTGGAGATGCTAAAAACAGCAAAACATAGGATAAGAGTGCTTCAAGCCCACATGGTGGGCACTAGAAAGGGGAAGGAAAGGGAGAATTGGGCATGGAGGGCTGCATGCTCTTTCCCCTTGCTTTGTGCACTCACGCTTGATTTCCCCCTTTCCCTTCCCTTCTCTAGTACCTGCCATGCAGGCTAGAATGCTTGGTGCTACACTTGTGACTTGACTAACTGTCAGCCCCGGCATCTCAAGGTTGATAATGTTGGCATAATTTTAACCATTGATTTTGAAGTATAAATTAAACAAATTCATATTTTGGTCCTGCAATGAGGAATTCAAAAGATGCTACATAGTTTCTGCAGTTCATACAGTTTCAATAACTGTTTATCCTGTGCATCCAAGATTTACTGTAAAATGCTCAAATCTCTTTATATCTTCCTGTGTTACTGTGCTCGTGTTACGTGACAAAACATTAAGGAAATCCTCAAGTGTCACTGGGCGGGGTTGAATCTGCAGAACAAAAAGAAAGTAGAACATTGTCAACAAGAATCAGCGAAACAGCATAGGATATATACCATAATCACTAAGCAAGTCAATGGTTTTACCATTTACTAGATCAAGAAATTGACACATGTACAGTGGCTATTAGTATGCCACAAGTTTGAAAGAAGTGGCATCTGAGTTTGTTTAATATTTGTTGAGGACAGCTTCAGTGCTCACAAAGTTGTAGCTAAATTGCTTTATCTACAAACATTAAAAGTGATAAAAGCTTAAGATAAAAGTGAATGACATTTCAACCAACCATCAGCCATTTTCAAGTTCAAGTCCTTGGTTTAATATATAGGCCCTTTGCAGGATCCGGTCACATGGTACGGAATTAATTATGCAGGGACGCAAGTTACACAGTGGGACTTTCAAAACAAAGGAAAGTCAGGCTGGACTGGTACGAGTTCCTTTGTTTTGGAAGTCCTACTGTGTAACTTGCATCCCAACATAATTCACTTTTATCATTAGCTTTTATAACAAAGTACATTTAAAAAAATGACTTATTCCATAAATCAAATGTTAAAAGGTAGCTTGCTTATGTTTCAACTGGTCATAAGCATTCAGTCCAGTTGAATGCAAGTAGTAATGTATGGATTAGTTAAGTTAAGGTACATGCAGCCAAAAGCAAACCAAATTTATCATAAACATACCAAGTTTTTGAGAAGGACTTTTCAGTCTAGGGCCTGGCTAGAGTTAATGAGAGCCAGCACAGCTGCAGCACTGAAACTTCCATTAATTATAATCTAATTAAATTTTAGCTATTTCAAATTATTATTATTATTGTGAAATCTAACAATTGGGAAGATCAGATACATTTACCTTTTCAGAATGGAGATCTTTCAAAGATGAGTGAATGCAATTCTTTTCAGTTTCTGGGCATGGGACATAGAACAGGTCTGTCAAAGTGTGATTGGAAAAGAAAAGATAACAATGAAAGATTGGCAGTAAATAACCTCTGTCTAGTGTGTATTTAACAGGTAAACAAATGAACAGTTAAACATACTTATGGTGTGGCTTCACAGTGGGTTAAATTATATATATATAATTACAAGTCAAAATAAAAATTTCA